CTTTTCTTTCAGTTTGGATGCCTAGAATTTTTAAATTTTGATGATGAAATCTAATTTATCAGTTTTTTCTTTTGTTTGTGATTTGATTTTTTTTCCCTAAACAGTCTTGGCCTAAAGTCATGAAAATATTTTCCTGTTTCCATCTAGAAGTTTCATTCATTTAGGTCTGTAGTCCACCTGAAATTAATTTTTGCGTGTGGTATGATGGTAGGGGTCGAAGTTCTTTTTTTACCTTAAAGATACTCCGTTCTAGCACCATTTGTTAAAAATACCTTCTTTTTTCCATTTAATTGCTTTGGCACTCTTGTTGAAAATTATTTGACTATGTATGTGTGATTGATTATATCTAGAGCACTCTGTTCTGTTCTATCAATCTGTTTGTCTGTCCTTTGCCATATTCTCTAGATGACTGTACCTTGAAACAAGTTACCTTGAGGTTAGGTAGTGTATGTTCTCCAGCATTGATCTTCTTTTTCAAGACTGTTAGCTAGTCTAGGTTTTTTTTTGGAAGTTCTGTGTAATTTTAGAATCAGTTTGTCAATTACTACAAAAAGCCTGCTGGAGTTTTGATGGAGATTACATTGAATTTATGAATCACTTTGGCGAGAATTGACATCTTAACAAAATTGCATCTTCCCATCCATAAATAAAAAAATGGCCATTTATTTAGTTTCTTTAATGTCTCTCAGCAGAGTTTTATAGTTTTCAGTATAAAAGTCTTACACATCTTTTGCTAAATTTATCCCTAAGAATTTTGTGCATTTGGATGTAATGTAAGTAGTACGTTTAAAATTTCATTTTCTAGTTCATTGCTAGTATGTGGAAATACAATTGATTTTTGTATACTGACTGTGTATCCTGTGAGAATGTTTAATTTACTTATTGGTTCTATGAATTTGACTATTTCATATACCTTATATAATTGGAATCATGCGGTATATGTCTTTCTTTGGTTTATTTTGCTTAGCATTATGTCCCCAATGTTCATTCATGTTGTCTCATGTTGCTTAATTTCTTTTTTTTTTTAAGTCAGGATAATATTCCATTGTATGTAAAGGAGTGCCTTGTTGGCTCAGTCGGTAGAGTATGTGACTCTTGATCTTGGAGTTGTGAGTTTGAGCCCTGCATGTAGTGTGGAGTTTACTTAAGATAAAAAATTTGAAAAAATACTCCATCGTATGTATATTACCACATTTTCTTTATTCATCTGTCAGTGGACATTTAGGTTGTTTCTACATCTTCACTATTGTGCATAGTGCTGCAGTGAACATGGGGATGCTGCTATCTTTTCAAGATCCTGATTTCAGTTCTTTTGGATAAATACCCACAAGGGGAATTGCTTGATCATATAGTAGCTCTGTTTTTTTTTTTTCCTTATTGCACTGACTAATTCCTCCAGTTTGATGTTGAATTGAAGTGATAAAAGCAGACAGCCTTGCCTTATTGTTGATTTTAAGTGTAAAGTGTTTAATAAGTATGGTGTTGGTAGGTTTTTTTAGAGTCCTTTATCAGGTTGGCAGAGTTTTATTCTATTTTGAGTTCGTTTAGAGTTTTTATCATGAATGCATGTTTCTGTCAAATACCTTTTCTGTATCTATAGAAATTATTATGTTATTTTTCTTTATTCCATTAATACAGTGAGTTACATTGAGTGATTTTCAAATGGTAAACAAATCTTGCGTTTTTGGATATGGTTTGTCTATGTGTATCACTCTTATATATTGCTGTATTTGATTTATTAATATTTTATTAAGTTGAGTCTGTGTTCATGAGGTATATTAGTCTCTAAATCTGTGTTCTCTGTTATTCTTAATGAGTTGAACTTTTATCATTATGAAATATTCTTCTTTACCTCCAGTAATACTCTTTGTCTTGAAATCTACCTTGTCTGGTATTAATATAGCTACATCAGCTTTCTTTTGCTTAGTATTTGTTTGGTTTGTCTTTTTATGTTATTTTATTTTCAACCTGTCTTTGTCTTTGTAAATAACATATGCTTGGGTCTTACCTTCTTATCCAGTGTGACAGTCTCTGCCTTTTAATTAGAGTGTTTAGGTACAGTTACATGGAATGTAATTATTGATATGTTTGGGTTTAAATCCTCTATCTTGGTGGTTTGATTTCTGTTTATCCTGTCTTTTTTTTGTTTCTCTGTTCCTTCCTTTTTGGGGGGAAGGTTTGTGTTTTTTAATAGTCCTTTGTATCTCCTTGGGTTTTTTCTTTTTTATACCTTTTGTGTTATGTTTTCACTGTTTTGGAGAGTACGATATGCATCTTTAATTCATCATGGTTTACCTTCAAAGAGTATTCTACTTCATGAACAATGTAAGAATCTTACCATAGTGAATATGCATTTACTTGCATATGCGTGTTCTTATTTCATATAAACCCTACTTTACCTTGCTGTTATTTTAATTTTAAACTATAAAGTCCATATCGTCTTTTAAAGAGATTTAAAGGTACACATGCCTGTACAGGCATATCTCGGAGATACTGCGGGTTTGGTTCTAGACCACTGCAATAAGGTGAATATTGCAATACAGCAAGACAGATTAATTTTTTTGTTTCCCAGTGCATATAAATTTATGTTTACATTATACTGTAGTCTGTTAAGTGTGCAATAGCATATACAAAAAGCAATATACAAATCTTAATTTAAAAATACGTTATTGCTAAATATGATAAGCATTGTCTGCACTTTCAGCGAGTTGTAATCTTTTTGCTGGTATAGGATCTTGCCTCAGTGCTGATAGCTGCTGACTGATCAGGGTGGTGGTTACTGAGGGTTGGGGTGGCTGTGGCAATTTCTTAAAATAAGGCAACAATTTCTAAAAATAAGACATTTGCCACATTGAATGACTCTTCCTTCATGAACAGTTTGTCTGTGGCATGCAGTGTTGTTTGATAACATTTTACCAACAGAGCCTCTTTCAAAATTGGGAGTCAGTCCTCTCAGACCCTACCACTGCCTTATCAACTAAGTTTATGTAATATCCCAAACCCTTTGTTGTCATCTCAACAATCTTCACAACATCTCCACCGGGAGTAGATTCCTGCTCAAGAACTACTTTCTTGGCTTATCCATAAGAAGCAGCTCCTCATCTTTTAAAGTTTTATAGCAATTTCTCATCTTAAGGCTCCAAAGTTCGCTGATCACACATCACCATAACAAATACAAAAATAATAATAAAAAGTTTGAAATATTGTGAGAATTACCAAAATGTGACATGGAGACATGACAGAGCAAATGCTGTTGGGAAAGTGGCACCAATAGATCTGCTTGACACAGGGTTGCCACAAACCTGCCATTTGTAAAAATAAAAAAAAAAAAATGCATTATCTGTGAAGTACGGTCATGTGAAGTGCAATAAAATGAGGCACGCCTGTATTTGTACATTTAATTTTTTTTTTAAAGGTCCTTGATATTGACTAACCTATTTACCTGTTCTGGTGTTCTTCATTCCTTCTTGCAGAGCCACGTTTCCATTTGGAATCATTTCCCTCTTGCCCAAAGAATCTCTTTTAGCCTATTTTTGTTGGGCAAGTGTTGCTGGAGTAATTCCTTCAGCCTTTGTCTTTTGAAAATGTATTTATTTCCCTTTCATCTTTGAAGGATATATTCATTGGATATAGAATTCGAGGTTGACTATGTTTCTATTTCAGGACTTGAAAGATAATGTTCCATTGTTCTCTGCCTGCCTTGTTTCTGATGAGAAGTCAATCATTATTCTTACTGTTTTTATGCATGTTGTGTGTCCTGTTTCCTCTGACTGCTTTAAGATTTTCCCTTTATCTTTGTTTTCAGCATCTTGACTGCGATGTGTTTATATATGGTTTTCTTTGTATTGATTCTGCTTGGGATTCTCTGACATTGGATCTGTGGATTGATTTCATTTATCAGTTTGGGAAAATTCTTGGCTATTATCTTGTCAGTATTTTGTCCTAGTCTTTTTTCTGCTTCTGAGACTCTACTTATTCATGTTAAACTGTTTGCTATTGTGCTGTAGAGCTTCAGTGCTGGTGTGTTTTTTCACTTTTTTTCCTCTGTGTTTCAGTCCCCAGGTTCACAGATTCTTTCTTCTACTGTTTTCAGTCTTTTGTTAAGCCCATCAAAGTCATTCTTCATCTCTAATATTATATATTTCTAGAATCTTTGGGTTTTTTTGTTTTTTGTTTTTTAAAGATTTTATTTATTTATTTGAGAGAGAGAGCACATGAGAGGGGGAAGGGTCAGAGGGAGAAGCAGACTCCCTGCCAAGCAGGGAGCCCGATGCAGGACTCGATCCAGGGACTCCAGGATCATGACCTGAGCTGAAGGCAGTCGCTTAACCAACTGAGCCACCCAGGCGCCCCATAGAATCTTTGGTTTTTAGAAGTGTGGTTTCTACATCTCTGCTGAAATTCTCTATTTTGCATGCACATTGTACATCTTTTCTGCTAGATCCTTTAACATGTTTTTCAGTTAGGGCCCCTGTCTGATAATTCCAACATTCGGACCATCTTCTGGATCTTGTGCTGTTGGATTGTTTTCCCTCTTGCTAGTTGCTCACATTTTCTTGCTTTATCACATGTCACATACTTTTTTATTTAATGCCAGCCATTGTGTGTAAAAGAACATTGGGGATTAAAGTAGAAAGGGCAGCTGTTAGTATAGGGTTTAGTCTGCAGTTGAACTGGGTCTGGATTTTGTTGTTGCTTTATATAGAATTAGTTCACTACTGCTTTCAGATTTGTAAGGATGGGATCAGAACCTTCCTTTTAGCAGGACCTGGGAGCTGAGTGTCTGGAGGGCTTGACTCAATTCTGCTTTATTGTAAGCAGGCCCCATGTAACTGTACCTTGGGGTGTGGTCAAGGGAGTTCTCTTTCAGGGCTCCAGCCCTTCTCCCCCAAATATAGATAGCACTGCTCTGGCTGAACTTCTCTTTTTTGATGTCTTTTGGCTGTCTTTTTTGGTAATCCTTCTGAAATTAAATCTTTTTTTCCCCCCCGCCTCTCTAGCCACTGTAGTCTGCAGATCAAAGCTCTGGCCAAAATCCATGCCTTTGTTCAAGACACGTAAGTGTTGCCCACTCCCCAGAATTCACCTGCTTCAAGGAAAGATCTTTTTATTTTGCTCTAAGCTCTTTGTTTATTTCATTTCAACAAATGTTTTAAAACATCTCCTCTTTTATCTTCTACTCTGCTGTGGTCTGTGAAGCATGCCAGAAAAGTATATGGCATGAACCTGGCCTTCAAAGACGTTGTGTTTGTGTTTGGGCAGAGAAGAGTGACCCAGGCAAAGGATACAGGCAGAGTTATTAGCAGCGCATCAGAGGCTGTAGAGCGGCACAGTATGAACAGAATACATTATGTTCAGGGGACGTGGAGTAAAGAGTGATCAAAAGAGGGGAGATAGAACTGGTCAAGGAAAACCAGCCATCTGGTAGGGGGCGAGCATAAACGGAGTCAGCTTTCTGGGACATAGTGACATCCACTGGGATGGACTTAATGTGGCCTGTCTCAGCAGAGGAGGAGCCAGAACATGCTGATGGGTATTTGAGAGAAGGCTGTGTGGGGAATTCTGGCATCCAGGGTGATCAGGAGGGTAGTCTCCCTTCCATTTGTGGTGGGAAGGGGCAGTCACCCCGTTTTGTGTACCTCTGAGCTCCCATCTTCAAGGGGCAGAGCCGTGTGAGTCTTGTTAGCATCCTGAGCTGATGGCAGTGTGGCCTCAGTGTGTGCACACCCGTTTACTCATGTGGGCTTCCTCTCTCTGGGTTTCTGAGGGGTTCACCTCTTGGAGGTTTTAATCACTGTTGGCTTCATTTTCTCAGGACCCTGAGTGAGCCTCGGCAGGCAGAGATCCGGAAAGAGTGCCTTCGACTTTGGGGGGTGAGCGTCTCCCCAGCCCCTTGTTGCTCCAGGGCAGGGAGGCTGTGGAGAAGAATGGATTGACCAACCCTGTCACCTTAGGGTCTCCTCTCGTGTGAACACGTCTGCCTGTCCTCATGGTGTTCCAGAGCCGGCTGGCTCAGCATCATCAGGAGTTACCTTTTTGGCCCTTTCACTGTCCGTGTGGTCCCGCAGTTGGTTCAGAAAGGACAAGGGTGGTGGGTGACCAGGCCTCATTTTGCTGCTGGGGCTCTGTACAGCAACACTGCCCACAGAGAGCCCCAGAGAGAGGGAAGTGGCCTTTGTGGTGTGCCACCCCAGGGCCCGAAGTGGGGCAGTGGCTGGATTACCCACCCCCATCTCCTGCTTTCTAGCCCCCTGTGTTAGGTGCCATTCCGTCTTCCCCCATCTGCATATCCCCTCACCTGCATATGCTCACACACAGCCTTTGTGGAAAGTGCATTTGAAAATCAAAGCTCGTTGCTGTCTCCTTTCAGATCCCAGACCAGGCTCGAGTTGCTCCTTCTTCCTCAGACCCCAAATCTAAGTTCTTTGAGCTAATCCAGGTAAGTTTGGTATCTGGGGAAAATACAAAGTTAGAAAGGCCTAACTTTAGATGTGGGAGGTATTGCTGAGATCCCCCAGATGCCTGGCCTCCAGAGGGCTTGTGCAGGCACCTCCTGGGCTCTGAGGGACTAGGCTGAGGCCACCATAGGTGGGAGCCTTTGGTGTAGGGTGTTGAGTTCCCCAAAAGCCCATCGGGTTGCCTGAAGATTCTTGTCCTGAGATGTGATGTGCTCAGCATTCCCACTGGCCCGAAGGGTGGGGTTGGCTACCACTCCCTGGCAAGGTCAGGGTCGCATGAAATTTGCCTGCAGGGGAGACAATGAAGTGTGGGATGATCTTAAGGCAGGGGAGCTGGGCAGAGGGCCAAGAGGGGCTGTCGGGGGCTCCACAGTGGGGCTGGCCTAACCCTAGATTCCCTGTACTGTTTCTGGTGAGCTGGTCCTTAGAATTCTTCTGCCCTGTTTTTTTCTACCACCTGACTTCCAGCTTTTCTCTGGGCTTATTTAAATCTGGCTCAGATCATGGGCCATTGTGCTGGTTTTGTGGGGTCAAGGACTGGAGAATGTGGTTCAAGATGACCTCGAAAGAGTAGCACATGTACATTTTTCTAAATGGGGTGGAGAGGTCACTTAACTGCTCTCAAACCAACTACTGATGAGTCCTCGCCTTCAGTTTTATTGAAGGGGTGGCTTTTATATTCAGGTGACATTTCCTTATGGCTCTGGTAAATTGATCTGTACTCAGGGACTCTGTGTTCTTTCCCTTCCCAGCCTGTCCTAATAGGTCCTAAAGGAACACCCCAAGCAGATGGAATTAGATCCCAGTTAGCGCATGGTTAGGTGGGGCAGGGGGCTATGTTTCAGAGAGCCAGTGCTGCCTGTCCCTCGCTTCTCCCAGCCTGCCCCCACCCCCATACAGGCACCCCTCCTGAGCATCTGTCCGTTCCCCCAACCTAGCCGTGTTTTCTCTGACCCGGGGCTGCAGGGCACTGAGATTGACATCTTCAGTTATAAGCCCACACTGCTCACCTCCAAAACCCTGGAGAAGATCCGCCCAGTGCTCGACTACCGCTGCATGGTGTCTGGCAGCGAGCAGAAGTTCCTCATTGGCCTGGGGGTAAGTCTGCCGCTGGCTTCCCATCTAGTAGTTGAGGTGTAGAACCTTGGTCTAGGTCTGTGGGAGTCTGGACAGCTGCTTGCCACAGTTGGTGCATGTTCTCTTCGCACCAAGGAGCTGGGGCTTTGACCCCAGGGAAGGTATTTCTTAAAGCTTCACTTCCTTTCTTCCTCTGAGTTAGCCAAGTGTCATTCATCCATTCAGTTTTTAATTTATTCACACATTTGCTTACTAATCTCTGTGCATTGCTAAAGGGAACATTGCTGCTTTTCTTGTGATACTAAGCTTCCTAGGCTAGCAGGATGGTCAGCAGGCTAATGTGGCTTGAATCCATGTAGCCAGGTCTTTGCAACACCGTCCCCCGTCATCCTGTCTTGCTCTGGAGCCCTTGGAGTCTAAGATAAGGGAAAGCCTTGTCAATTTTTTTTTCTTTTTTCTTTGCGAGAGAGAGGGTGTGTGTGCGAGCGAAGGGGGAAGAGGGGGAGGGAGAGAGAATCCTAAGCAGGCTCCACACCCGGGACTGAGCCCAACGATCTCACGGCCCTGAGCCGAAACTGAGAGTTGGATGCTTAACTGACTGAGCCCCCCGGGCGCCCCGAGCCTTGGCAATTCTGTATCTTAATTGGGTAAAGTCATCATTACTCTTTCTTTCCACTCTGCATTGTATCTCTGTGTAACTTTATCTCTGCTCCCTCACTTACTTTGTGTTCTCTCACACTTGATCTTTTTCTTTTTTTACTTTCTGCCGCCACCCCCACCCCCACCAACTCACTGGACCCTTCTGTAAGCTCACCTCAGAGATACATACACCAAGCTTGATCTTTCCTGACGGCCACTCATCGTGCTTGGACTTAGGCCTTTTGAATGGTGCCCTGGGCCTGTTCCCTCCCACCAGGACCACCAGATCCCTATTGCTGAAGTATAACTGGCTAATCTCTCCTGGGCATTTTCTTCTGACATTTCCCAGCCCCATCAGCTTTTAGCTGTCAACTAAAAGCCCTTTTGAGAACTGAGGCTCTCACCCCTCGATCCCCATACCTGCCTGATGGGGCCCTTTCTCTCTGCCCACAGAAGTCTCAGATTTACACATGGGATGGCCGCCAGTCAGACCGCTGGGTCAAGCTGGACCTGAAGACAGAGCTACCCCGGGATACTCTGCTGTCTGTGGAGATTGTCCATGAGCTGAAAGGGGAGGTCAGAGGTGGTTCCGCTCACGTGTTCTGGCCCTGCCAGCTAAGCTTTATAGCTAAGCTCCCCGCTGAGTTAACTGGGTTATGTTGTGTATGGTGCTTCACAGGGCCCAGGGCTGGGGAAAGGCTTTGTAATGATTCCTCCTCCTCAAGTAGTTGCTCTAAACCATGATATGTTCAGGTAGGAAGGACCATAGTCCCCATGTGTGTAAGAGGGGATCTTGGTCATCTCTGGGCAGCGAGGGCCCTAGTGGGCCTGCTGGGTAGTTTTTAGCTGCTGATTTTGTTTTTACCAGGGATCCCTTGTGCGTTGGCCATTATAGCCATACACATGACTTTCAGAACGGTTAGTGGGGACAGTTGACAAGATTGGGAAGCTAGGCTCCGGCTGGAGCACCATGGTGGCCGCCTCTCCCTGGGTTCCAGGGGGCTTGTCACCCAAAGCTTCAGATCTCTGCCTGCTCAGAAGTCTGGGCCAGTGTGGTGCTAAGGATGAACTGGGGCAAGAGAAATATCCTGTGTTTGGAGTCCTTCCCTTCTCCGGCTGTAGGTAGAATGGAGGCCAGCACGCCATGGTGGGCAGTGTGGGCCCCAGGCCAGGGCCTGGCAGGGTGGGCAGTGTACTTGTCCTTCTAGGGGAAGGCCCAGCGGAAGATTAGTGCCATCCACATCCTCGATGTCCTCGTGCTGAACGGCAGCGACGTGCGGGAGCAGCACTTTAACCAGCGGTTTGACCTGGGCCCTGGGTAGGGAGGGCGGGGTAGGCCAGGGCAACTCTGTGGCAGCAGCCCCTGGGGCTCGGCCCCTCACCTAGGCCTTCCTTGCCTAAGATAGCCTTAGTTTCCCTTTCCCACCCATTGGCTGGTTCCAGGGGCAGGGAGAGGAATTAATATCGGCACTGCAGAGTGTGCTAGGGTGTGGGCCTTGATGGCCATGGATACCAGCACATTCCATTTTGCCACAGCTGTTCAGATCGGAAGTGATGTTTGTGTTAAGGTTGAGCAAGACAATAACCTTAGAGAGAGAGGAAGGGTCTCTAAAGAACATGCCTTAAGCATGGGTAGTCCCATTTCAGTCAGTTCATCTGGATCCCTCTTGTTTGTGGATGGATGCCTGATCAGTTGTTGGGGGGGGAGGGGACAAAAAGGAGGGACATCTGACACTGCTGTGTTGCTGCCATCACTCCTAAGGCGGTTCTGTGGGGTGTGCTGTGGTATCAGTGGTTGGGGTGAGCGGACACATACACTAAAGACGATACTTGAGGTTGTAGTGGAGGGGACTGGGCACACCTCGACGCACACTTCGGGAAAGCCTCCCAGGACAGAGCGAACGGGGTGTCAGAATCCAGAGAGAGGGCGGGCCTGCGAAGGACGGCAGTGGAGAAGGGCAGGGTGGGCTGCCTGCGGGTGCTGGGGGTGCTGGGGGTGGGAGCTGCGCGCCTGCCAGTGCTCCTTCACGGCTGCCGTGGAAAGGCGCTGGGGGCAGGGGTGCTAGTCGAGGCGTCTTTGCTTGCCTCTGAGAGCCTCTGTTTGAACTGTAGAATTCAGCTTGCTGAGAAATTTGTGAAAGCTGTTTCCAAGCCCAGTCGGCCTGACATGAATCCCATCAGGTGAGCACATGGTCTCCGCCTTCCAAACCGCCCCCCCCCCCCCCCGGTTCCCCATTGCTGCTCGGTGGCCAGTGCCAGCTTCCCCGTCCTGTGGGGGATGGGAGAGCTCAGTAGAGGGGACCCGGCAAGGCTGGCTTTAGATAAGACTGCCCTTGGTGAGTGTGAATTGTTGGGGAGGGGGGTTGCTAGGATAGGGGTCTCTGCCCCAGAGTCTCTCCCCATCCTGCTTGTCCCAGTGGGCCAATATCCAGGGGAGAGATTCATTCCTAGTGGTTGAGGTGTCCCCGTCTAAGATGCACGTGCTCCTGAGGGTGCTCACACACCTTGTGAATCGCGTGCTTTCGCTCGAATGTCATTAGCGTATCACCTGGCCTTTGCATTTTTTTTTTCAGGTAAGAAAAGGGTGCTAAGGGAATGGGAGTTTTTGAACATGAAAAAGAGAAAGTTTGTTGCCGTGTTAGGTGGTGTGAAAGTTCTAGGCCCCCGAGGGAGCGGGGGAGGATGAGGGCAATCAGGGAGCTGACAGATGGAAAACAGACTCTCCAGGCTGCGCCCGGGTCAGAGGTTATTACCTTTGGGGCTTCACGTGACTAGAGACTGAGGTGTCTGTTTACACTTTATGTAAAATCCCATCTGCCAGGTCCTGAGGGCCACCTTCCAGGGACCCTCCCTGTGTTGCTGGTGGTCTGGTTGCTGGGGTCCCTGGGGACCTTACCCAGTAGCAGTTCCAAAGACGTATTCAAGGGCCCCCAGAGGTGGGGGAGCACTGCGCCCTGGGTAGGGGGTCCCCCTGCCCCCTATGGTAAAAGTCTTGTTAGAACTGCTTGGAAGTAACTCTGCTACAGGAAGCCCTGAAATCCACGGCAACAGACCTGGGCATGAGCGTTCACCTTGGTGCTTCTGCTCATGGCAATGAGGAAGATGACCTGGGGTGGGAACGCTGGCAGAGACGGCTTCGTCTGCCCGACCTTGCCCTCTCGCCCTTCTTCCATAACCATGGTTGTGCTCCCCAGTTGCCCTCGGGGGTGTTTGGTAGCCCTGAGCTTGGGGCATGTCTGAGGGACGGCAGTGAGCCAGGCTGGGGGCCCTCCTTCTGGTGGGCCGGGGGTACAGGGCCCGAAGCAGAGGGCAGGCACCACCTCCTGCCTCCCAGCTGCTGCCGAACAGGACCGTCCACCCCAGCCCCTAGGAAGCCTTTGTCCTCTGTCTGTCCCTCTGCACACAGGGTGAAGGAGGTGTACAGGCTGGAGGAGATGGAGAAGATTTTTGTCAGGTGAGTGACTCTGCCTTAGCTCAGGATTTGGGAGGAGTCGGGGTGGGGGCGTGCAGCAGTGTTCTTTTTTTGCAGCGATGGGTTGGGGGGAGGCCCTGGCAGGCTGCCTGTGAGCCCACTGCTGCAGCCGGGAGCCCCCTGGCCGAGAGCTGACTCAGCAGCCTGGCGGGTGCGCGGCAGGCCGAAGTACGGGCTCATTGATGCTGTGACAGCTCCGATTGTCCCTGGGAGGGGCAAAGCAGCAGGCCGCTGGGGACGCTCTAAATCCCAGCTCCCGGCGCTGACGGAGATTCAGCCTGGAGGGGCGCAGGGGGCAGAGCTGCTTGCTCGTAGCCTTAGTGCTATGTGGGGTGCTGCAGTCCGTGGGCCTCGTCCTGGGGTGTGCGCCCACCGTGGCCGGAGCTGGGCCAGGTCTGCGGGGGCTCGGGTTAACTCTTTCGTGGCCACTGTAATGCCTTTGGTGGTGGACTGAAGGCCCAATGGCACCTCTAGTCTCAGACCGTACCCTTGCTGGTGTCACCCTGAAACCCCCGACAGCAGCAGCAGAGCAGGGCCGTCTGTCACTTTCCTGCCTCCACTGCTTGGTGGAGAGTTCAGAGCCCGAGTCCTACATCCAGCTCGGCACAGGCTCCCTTGCCGTGTGGCCCGGAACAGCTCCCGTCTCTGCCTCAGTTTCTTCCATTGAGCGGAGATAAAACGCTGTGGGTGGTGAGATTTTGATATTAGCCAGCAACTAATGTGAGGGCGTGCTCGCTCTCTCACGTACGTACTCCCACTTCGTGTTTTCTCATCTCGGGGCAATCAGGTTGGAAATGAAGATCATCAAGGGCTCCAGTGGCACTCCGAAGCTCAGCTACACAGGGCGGGATGACCGGCACTTTGTGCCCACGGGCCTCTACATCGTCAGGACGGTGAATGGTAGGTGATGAGGGATGGTTCCCTGCCCTTTCCCGTGGCCGGGATGCCTGGCCCAGAGCCAAAAGCTGCCTGCTGAGCGGCATCGCAGCCAGCCTGGCATTTCTTGGAGGTGTATTTTGGAGAGGTGGGGACTGTGTTTCCCCCTGGGGATTGGGTTGGGGCTGGGGAGAGAGGAGCCCAATTGGTCTGGGCACAGATGGTGTCCTCATGGCAGGAAAAGGGCCTTCTCGGGGCGGGGGGGGCGGCAGCAGTTTCAGAAAGTCAGGCTTGGCCATTTCTTCCTTGGTCCCGTCCCTTTCTCTTCAGTGCCCTCTGGTTAACAGAGCCCTTGCTTTGCCGGGCTCCCAGAGTTGTCACCCTGGTGGCAGGTTGGCAGGACTGGGGTGGGGTTGCTGAGAAGTAATTATCTTAGTTGTCCTTCTTGAGCCTCTTTGGGCTGGTGATTGAGGCTGCATCCTCACAGGCTGTTCTCTGCCTGCTTTTTGGGAGAGGGGAATGGAAGAACAGGAGTGCAGGAAGACACACCCCTATGTTGGTCTGCCCCTGGCCCCCATGAATAATGGATATCCTTTATGACCTTTCCCTCTTCCTTCTGTCAGAGCCGTGGACTATGGGATTCAGCAAAAGCTTCAAGAGGAAGTTCTTCTACAACAAGAAAACCAAGATCTCTACCTTTGACCTCCCTGCAGACTCCATTGCCCCATTTCAGTAAGTGGTCCTCCTCCATGCCTTCCCCCTCTGCAGCATCAGGTGCTCCTGCCAGGATACCAGCCTTCTTGGGGCACACCCCAAGTCCTGAGAAAGATGGCTGCCCAAGCAGGGGCTCCCCTGAGCATGAGCCGGGTTCCTCCCAAGGGTGGGGATGTGGCCCCCTTCTGGGTAGAGTCTCAGTGAGATGCAAGGGATGCCAGGACCTGCTCTGATGGTTGGGGATCCTCAGTGGGCAGGGCCTCATCCAGGCAGGGCGTCTGCCCCTTGGAGCAGCCACTGCTTACGTGACTTTCCGGTACCGGCCTGATGGTGGGAACATACTGAGGGCCTGCAGCCCTGCCCCTTGGGACTCAAGGTCCTAGTCATCCCTCATGAGGACCCAGTGTCCATTTGCCAGATTGTTAGTCCTAGGTTTTGACAGTAGCCAGCAGCCCTGATATGCCTATAATTAGCCACTGACATTAGTTTCTGTCGCCACACTAATACTGTTTTATTAAAGCAGCACAGACAGATAAACCAGGAATGTCAGTAATTGTAGGAATCCAGTTGGACACGATTAGCAGCAGCAGCTCTTTGTTGGGAAAGGCTGGTTCCAGAAGTCAGGAAAGAGGAGCTGGGGCCTACTGGGTACCTTTTGGCCGCCAGAGGGAGGACCCTCACCTGGAGTCAAATGTTACCCTCCCCCCCCCCGACACCCCCACCCGATCCAACTCTGAAGAACCAACCCTCTAAATCATGGTCACCGGGGCTGGGGTGGTGATCTCTTGGTCCTGCTCCACCTGGGTACAGCCCTCTGACCTCCTTTCTCTTCCTTCTCCCCAGCATCTGCTACTATGGCAGGCTCTTCTGGGAGTGGGGGGATGGCATCCGTGTGCATGACTCCCAGAAGCCCCAGGACCCAGACAAGCTGTCCAAGGAAGATGTCCTCTCGTTCATCCAGACACACAGCGCCTGAGGGCGTGGGGATGCCCAGCCCTGCCGAATGACCTGTCGTTCTCTGAGTCAGGGCGCTCTGCCTGGGGCTCACAGTACTGGTTTTTTCCCCTTCAAGGAGAGGGACTGGGGAGCGCAGTCACTGCAGCCTGGCCATAAGGGGTGGGTGGTCTTCTCTCCATTCTCCCTGAAGAACTCAGTCAGGGGCCTTCAGAGGACTCTCACGTTCCTTCTGGGACACCTTTTGAACTTCCCTCCCCGGAGATCCGCCTGCCAGGGCTCAGCCTGAGGATGTTGCTCCTACAGTGGGTTTGAGGTCAGGGCCCGGGGAACGTGCGGCCAGTGGAGGACGTGTCAGGGAACAGCAGGGCCTTGGCTCTGCCCTTCTCTCTTGTATCCTGTAGACTCACTTTTCTGAGTTCCGTGCACTGCCCCCGAGGGCGGCCATGCTCCTGCTCTGCCCAGCTTTTTATTGGGCCGACCCTAAGTGGGTGTAGGCCAGGGGCAGCTGCTGTACAATTCAAGGTTTTGTTTCTTTGAACTTGCTCTGTTTTGATGTCAAGTTGGAGAAGATTTTGCCTCCTGCCCTGACCCCTGTCCTGGTCTTCCCTGGAGTTCTTCTCAGCCGGACCTCTGACAGTCCCGCAGGCCGGGAAGGGAGGCATGTGGGCCACACATCCCTGACACTGCATCATGACACAGGTAGTGTCTTGGCAGTGGGTGTGACTGCCTCCTGGGGTTGTAGAGCCTTCCTGGGCCCCATCCCCTTTTGATCTGAACCTTGGGCAGCTCTGGAGGAGGAAGCAGCCTTGAAAACCTGCCTTTTTCTATGCCCCAGAGCAGTGGCGCCCTGGCAACACAGGGTACCTCTGGGGTTGGGTCACACCCGGCCCTTTGGCAATCATGGCACCCCCATTTGCCCATGGCACCCACCTTGCTAACCCCTCCCTTCGTTTTTCTTGCCCAATAGGAAGTACAGTCACTTTGTTTGTCCTTCTGTGGTCACTCCATTTCCTCTGTCTTGGCAGAGGGGGAAGAGGGGAAGCTGGGCAGCAGCTTTGGGTGGGGGAGGGCAGCTGTGGTCGTTTTTAATGGGAAATACCTCTCAGAGATGCTCCTAGGGGCTCCCTAGAGCCCCATCCCAGCGCTGGGCTGGGCTGGTTTCCATGGAGATAGGGCACTGAGACTCCCTGTGAGGTTGCAACTGCACCTGGGGGGAGGGTCTCCAGCCAGCACCCGGCCCCTCCCTCCCCAGGTTGGCGGCAGCACGGCTGAGAAAGCTGTATTTCCACCCAGTTCTGGGTGTATCAGTGTGTCTTGCAGAATCTTGGATCATTAAAGATAAACATATTTTTAATGCCTGTGTGGCTCTGTGCTGGGGCTATTGCTATTTGTCCTTGGTGCTGTGTGGCCTGGGATTGGCTTGGATGAAACCGCTTGGGCTGGAGGAGAAGTGGGGGAAGCTCTGCTTAAGAAGAGGGGGAAAAGCCGGTTGGTTTACTCAGAACCTGTGCAAGTTCCTGGGCCCCGCAGGCCCTGCTGCTTGCTTCCGGAGGGGGGCCCTGGAAGGGTCCAGAAATTAACGCAGCTCCAGTTGGAAGCAGGGACTGGAGAATGAATGAAAACCTACAGCCCAGCGGGGCAGGGGGGGCACCTTCCTCCCTCCACATAAATCACACGGCTCACTCCATGGTGGCACTGTGACAATCCAGGATCAGTCTGTGTGACTAAAATAAGAGGCGTCAGACCAATTAGTGTCACTAGACCGGAGAAAGAGAGGAAGGGAGAGACGGTTTCACTGACCCCTGGCCAGCCTCCCCTCCGTTCTGGGTCTGCACGGGGGGTGCTGGGGGGCTGTGCTTGGGGTGAGGTGTGCAGGTGCCGACGGCACCTCTCTCGGCTCAGGGCTAGAGCTTCTCCACCAGCTCCACAGCTCTGGTGCTGGCCTCCCACAGCCTGCCTCTGCTTGGCTCCTTCCTTCGCCCTGGCCCTGAGGGTTCTTCCTTGATGTCTCACAGCGTAAGCTTCTGGGGTAGCTCCTTTCCTCGTTTTCACTTTCTTAATTGGTATAGTCTCCATGCCACGCCCTACTGTGCTCTGCCTTGCTCCAGCCTCCCACTCCTGACCCTCCTGGTCCCAGGGCTGGGAGCAGAGTTGGTGGGAGGGTATGTGTTTGCTGCTCTTGGCCCCCGCTCCAGTTGGCCCTGCCCCTACTGCTTCTCCCAGCGAGCCCTGCCTGATTTACTGGCCACTGTCACCATAAGTCTGGTCATTACCGTGGTTCTTGCTGCCCACTCCCTCTGCCAGGCCTCACCAGCCCTGTTTGCCTCTTGAAGATGGATTAACTCCGTGCTCCCATGGGACCTCCACATGACCACTTCAAGTCCCCAGTCACCCTCTGTGCACAGGCTGCGCTTTTTCTGCCATAATTAACAGGCAGTGGCACTGACGGGAGGGCAAGACAGCGTGTTTGGGGGGCAGTGGGCAGGGGGTGCCATGCCTAAGCCCTGGAAATGGCTCCCAGAATAGTTTTGGCTTTAAAAATGCTTTCTGTTGTCTAACTCTCCACTTAAGCTGGGGACTCACCTTCGCAGTGCCCCTTCCCCCATCCTGAGTTCTAAGCCAAGCATTTCCCCTTGAACATCTTCCTTGATTCCTGAGTGCCACCCCCACTGCCCTCCAGCTGCAGTCACACCATGACATTTACTCAGCAGACGGGAGCAACCTGGCTGTTCTTTATTGCCTTTCCCTTGGGCTGAGGGAGGAACCAGCACACAGTCCTTCTGGAGACCCAGGCCCCACAGCAGGACCAGGAGGCGAGAGGGGCTGGGCTGACAGGAGGCCCTGCTCCAGTGTCTGGGTTGGGGAGAAATGCTCCTGTACCTTGGTTGTCTTGAAGCTTATGGCCCGGTTGGTGGTGACCAGGGGGCCAAGGGGAAGCCTGTGCTGACTGTGGAGAAATCTGAGGCTCACATGGTCCAGTAGGTGTAGATGAGGGTCAGGAGGATGAAGATGGCCACGGAGAGCAGCATGTTTTTCCGGTTCTCCTGCCGAAGCAACTTTAGCTCCTTCTCTGGGAGAAAACAGGGTGGTGAACAGGCAGTTGGGGCCCATCTGCTACTCTCCTCCGCCTCTGCCTCTCTGGCGAATGGGTGTACACACTGTTGAGAGCAGAGGTGTTCCCGCCCAGCTTCTCTACTTCCTAATCCACAAAAATGACTGTCCTCCTTGATCTGCCCAGATTCTCACCACCTTTTGGCTACAGATCCTGGCCCAAAGGAATCCCATCACCCAGTGCTGCTCAACCATTTTTCTGCAAACGCAGTGGAAGTTGAGGATGGAGTGTGTGAGGGGGTCATCAAAAAGGCCACACCTGATAGCCAAGCTAGGTGTTGGCATGGCATCACCAGGTGAGTCCTCTGGCCTGTCACTGCCGGTGGAGGGTGGGTGTGGGGTGCTTCATGGTACTTATCCTTGCAGGGGGTCTCATCTGGCCAACTAGAAACTCAGGGAAGCTGGGACTTTTTGGGCCCGACACTGGAGTAGGTACAGGGTGGGGCCACGCCATCAGTGCTTCCGGTCTTGCCCCCTGCTGGGCACCCAGCTAAGCAGGAACCAGCGACGCTGGAAGGCAGGCAGTGCCCACAAGGTGGTCGGGCTTGCCTCTAGAGGAAGCCAGTCCTATTCTGTGGCCACAGGGCATCTATTCATCCCCTTGTGTGACATGCAGGTGGGCAGTACTATGCTACCTCTCAGGTAAACTGAGGGCTGGTGCTGCAATTGTAAAAATTGCTAGGTTTGCGACAGAACGGACATCCCTTCCCTACTTGTGTGGACGGGCAGGTACCTGTAAATCAGCTCTAGGCAGGCCAGACTGAGACCCGGGCCCAGGTAGGGGGGTGTGTGCACACACATGTGCTGTGCTTACGATGTTGATTCAAACTCGTCCCTCTGGGAGATTCTCCATCATGTGGACTGTTCTGGGGCTGATTCTTAGCAGGTCTGCTCTCTCAGGGGGAGAACAAAACCGAGAAGTCTGAGGAACCTCTGCAGACCATCTTCCTCTCAGGCTGGCTGGGGCAGGGTTGGGGTAGGGGGGGTAGTAGCCGCCCTCCTGCTCTGCCCCCAGCTCCCAGAAGGTGGCAGCATTGCTCCACCCACATAGCCCCTCCTTCACCTCTAGGTTTTCCTGGGATGGAGTGGGAGGTGGGAGGGGAGAGGGGGGCGGGGGAGGACAGATCTCCCAAGTCTGGGTGGATGTGAGAGTCTCTTCTGGACCTGACTACAACCATTCCCCTTCATCCCACAGAGGAAGAACAGACCCATAGGCCTCTCCATCTCCCCTGGAACAAAGGAACAAACCTGCTCTTCCAGGCTTACAGTGGGTTCCTATAACCTTGGCAGAGGAGCGGGGAGGGGGGCAGAGGGGGTGGGAGTGGGTTGTGGGGGGGGGCGGCTCCCTCCCAAAGAACCCTCCTGATCCCCATGACCTGGTGGGCTCCCTGGGCTGTCTGTCCCCTCCTGACCCTGGGACTGGTAAAGGAAGGGAACTTTCTTACCGTAGTTGGAGGCTTTGTTCATCAGGTGGTTTTTCTCCTTCTCCAGAGACTTCCTGTGAGGGGAGAAGGAGTATTATGGCTCAAGCCCTTTTCCGTCCTGAGGGGCAGCTGACACACGGGGGCAGGATGGACGAGGGGAACAAGGGATCTCCCGTGGCAAGGGGTAGGGTGAATGGAAGCTCGGGGCCAGGGCCCCAGGATAAATAGGAGGGGCTGGGGGAAGGCGGGAGTCCAGGGCAGACACATTACCTGGCCTCTGGGCTCAGCTCCGCCCCATAGAGCCTGGAGTTTACAGCCTCCAGGTCTCTGCGACACTGCGACAGCTTCTCCTCCAGCCCATCGATCTGAAACACAAGGCACAGCCGGCAGATAGAGATGGGTGGCAGAGCCTTAAAACTTCCAAAACAGTTGGGATCCTGGGATGGGGAGGAAGGAGCCTCTAGGAGTCTTCTTGGACCGCGCCCTGCCTCCCCTGGCCCTGGCCCCGCAGCTGCTTTGTTCCGC